TAAAAAAAAAAAAAAGCACAAAGAGGGAGAGAGGGAGAGAGAGGAGGGAGGGAGAGAATGATCAAAGAAAGGTGAATATCTCTGTGCTGTGGGCTCCATGCTGGCTGCCCCGGAGGTAAGCGCCTGCTGGGGCTGAAGCTTGGCTCCTGGTTCACCCTGAAACCTCACTGTGCCCTAAAAATGAACAATTGAATAAGTTTCTTTCTCAATTCATTTCAGGATAAAGTCTTCTAAACAATAGGTTCAGAGTTTGGGAAATATTGGTGGGGGGTGGAGAACAGCAGGATCCCCTCCGTCACTGCAGAAGGGGCTTGGCACTGGGCGGGAAGCCTTTGAGATGAGCTCCTGGAAGCCCACGGCTTGGACACTGGCTGAGCAGACAGCCTCAGGGGCCAAAACCCCTGCCCCAGACATGCCCACCCATCTCCTGTCCTGCTCAATAGCACCCCCACCTCCCTCCGTCCCCTGCAGCAAGCAAGGGCAGGGCCCTGGGTCCTTGGCCAAGGCCAGTTGCCAGGGCACAGCCTACTGGGCAGAGGTACCACTGAGAGAGGGGCTCCCCCAAGATGGCTTGCCTGGATATACTTCCTGAAGTAGACCCCATGAGACCCTGTGCAGCCTGCCTCTCTGCCCGGCAGCACGGCCCCAAAGAGAGCCACCCCCTGCCCCCGCCAGCTCCCAGCAGCCTAGCCCAGACTCCGGTGTCAGCCAGATGTGCCAGGGCAGGTTGAATGAGGAGAGCTTGTTTCCTCTGCTTTGCCGACCTGGTGCCAACCTTGGCTATCTCCGTGCAGATTCAGCACTGGAAGAAGCAGAGAGGCCGTTTGGTCTTTACTCAGTGCAGGGAAGTCCCATTCCTGGACTTTCCGAGTTCCTTAAATTCTCAAGAAACAGAGGCCTCACCACCTCACAAGGGCTCCCGTGTTTTGGCTATGCAGCTCTCACAATAAAAGCCACCATTTTTTGCAATTTCTTATGGACCAGGCAGTGTGTCAACCTTACATACTTTATTTCACAGTGGCTCCGTGAAGTAGGTACTATTATCACCATCCCCATTTTGCAGAGGTGGAAACTGAGGTTTAGAGCCATTATGCATCTTGCCTAAAATCACATTTTGTGTGTGTGTGTATATATATATATATATTTTTTTTTCCTACCTCTGTCTGATGAAAGGGCCTAGAAACAGTGACACCTCAATAGCAATGAGCACATCCAGTGCCCAGATCTTAGTTCCTAAACACCACCCTTCAGTAAAAGGAACCATGCTCCTTAGAGAAACGGCTGATTCTGGTGCTGAGAAAGGGAAAATACAACATGAACCTGGAGCATCGTGTGCCAGAAAGTAAGGAAATGCTCAAAAAGAAAAAAAAAAGGATGGGGGATATCACAGACACAGGAGCTCATCTGACAGAGTTCCCAATGGCCAAAGCTGGAACAATCTGAACAATAAAATATATAACTTAGTATTGAATTATAACCCAAAGAATAAGATAGATAAAGGCATGGGTCCATGCTGATAGAAATAAATGGGGGGAGGGGGAGGTGGGAGGAGGAAAAATCTTCCTAACAGAAGAATTCAAAATAATATATGTAGATATAGCTTCCAGGAGGTGGAGTATGGCTTCCCCCCAACTTGAGTGTGGGCTCCACTTGCTTCAAATAACAGACTGTGAAAAGGAGAAAATGGTTACTTCGCAGTGGAAAAGGCTGGCAGACACCAAACTCAACCATGTAATCAAGGTTAACACAACCAGTAATAAGTCATGGGGACATGATGTGCCTCCTGGGATGATGTGACAAGAAGGGCGCTTCACCTCTGTGGTCTTCTTTCCCCAAACCCACAACTCCTGCCCAGTCACGAGCATCACACAAACCCAAACAGAGGGACAGTCTAACAAAATACTGACCAGAACTCCTCAAAATTGTCAAGGTCATGAAAAACAAGGAAAGACTAAGAAACGGTCACAGACTAGAGGTGTCTAAGGAGACGTGACAACTGCATGCAATGTGGGAACATGGACTGGCTCGTGGAACAAAAATAAGGACATTAGTGGAAAAACTGGTGAAATCGGAAGAAAATCTAGAGTTCAGTTAATAGTCATGTACCAGCGTTGGTTTCTTAGTTTTGACAACTGTTCCATGGTCATGTAAGATGTTACCATTAGGGGAAACTGCATAAGGGGTATACAGAACTCTCTGTATAATCCTGCAACGTTTCTGTAAACCTAAAATTATTCCAAAGTAAAAGCTATATTTTAAAAACTCATACGGGGGGGCTTCCTTGGTGGCGCAGTGGTTAAGAATCTGCCTGCCAAGGCAGGGGACACGGGTTCAAGCCCTGGTCCAGGAAGATCCCACATGCGCGGAGCAACTAAGTCCGTGCGCCACAGCTACTGAGCCTGCGCTCTAGAGCCTGCGAGCCACAACTACTGAGCCCACGTGCCACAACTACTGAAGTCCGTGTGCCTAGAGCCCATGCTCTGCAACAAGAGCAGCCGCCGCAATGAGAAGCCCGCGCACCGCAACGAAGAGTTGCCCCTGCTCACCGCAACTAGAGAAAGCCCACGCGCAGCAACGAAGACCCAATGCAGCCAAAAATAAATAAATTAATTAATTTTAAAAAATCATACGGGGGACTTCCCTGGCAGTCCAGTGGTTAAGACTCTGCACTCCCAATGTGGCCCAAAAAATAAAAAAATCATACAGGATATAAATGTATGAACCAGCATTCAAATTCAAATATGTCTGTCCCCTTAGCCCATACATTCCACCTTCCCTGCACCATCTCATGTTAGAAAGTCATTCCCAAAGCCTTCTTCATGGGTCTGAGCTTCTTCCCATCTGCCCATGTTTGCCCTCTCAGACCACCCTAACTCATTTGTTTCCTTTGCCCCATGACCTCCTCTTGAGAGAGGAAGGATGCTCCTATCCCCTCAGGTGTGTACACATCTCCAAGCTCATTATTCCCAGGTCCTTCCACTCTCTTGGGTGACTTGGGTTTCAGTGAATATTGGCCTCCCTAGCACCTACTCCTCCTTTGCAGCAGCCATCAGATTCCACTTGGGGATCCATTGGGGGTCCAGAGAATATAACCTGGTTCCAGAGATAAAGCACATGACTTAGGCTAGGTCTATTAGCACACACCATTCCTTGGCCACCGTGATCAGCCCAGAGGTAGCAATGTGACCCAAGCAGGTCTAAAACATCCCAGGACTTTGACAGGGAATGCTAGGACAAAGACAATTCTCTTCCTCCATTTTGGATGTAAATGAAGAAGCCCCTGGAAGCCTTAGGATGAAGCCAATTATAGGGACAACAGAGTAGAGAAATGGAAAAAGCTGGGTTGTCAGTGACATCAATGAGCCACTGGATCAAGCCTTGCCTGAAGCCCATCCTGCCACTACACTTCTCAGTTGGCTGAGAAATGCTCCCCCCCCCAAAAGATATCCACATTCTAATCCCTGGAACCTGTGAATGTTATCTTATAGGACAAAGGCAGGGGAGGGGGGTTCTTTGCAGATGGGATTTAAATTAAGGATTATAGTATGGGGAGATTATCTGGGTGTGCCCCAAATGCAACCACATGTATTCTTTTATTTTTTTTTTAAATCAATTTATTTTATTTTTGGCTGCGTTGGGTCTTTGCCGCTGCGCACGGGTTTTCTCCAGTTGCGGTGAGCAGGGGCTACTCTTCGTTGCAGTGACCAGGCTTCTCATTGCAGTGGCTTCTCTTGTTGCCAAGCATGGGCTCTAGGCTCATGGGCTTCAGTAGTTGTGGCGCACAGGCTCAGTAGTTGTGGCGCACGGGCTTAGCTGCACGTGGGATCTTCCCGGACCAGGGCTCGAAGCCATGTCCCCTGCATTGGCAGGCAGATTCTTAACCACTGCGCCACCAGGGATGCCCCAACCATACGTATTCTTATAGGAGGGAGGCAGAGGGAGATTAGACAGACACACAAAGAAGGCAATGTGACCGCGGAGGCAGACAGTAGAGTGATGCGGCCATAAGCCATAGAATGCTGGCAGCCACCAGAAGCTGGAAGAGGCCAGGAACAATTCTCCCCTAGAGCACATCTCCTCTACGAGACAGAGCACAGCCCGGCCAACACCTGGATTTTGGCTCAATGATACTGATTTCAGACTTCTGGTCAGAATTGCAATAGAATAAATTTCTGTTGTTTTAAGTCATCTAGTTTGTGATAATTTGTTAAAGAAGCTGTAAGAAAAAAATCCAAGAACTAATATATTCTCTTTAATATTTAAGACAGTTTGAATCTGATATTTTGTTAATTGTGACCCAAAGCAGTCTAACTGATATAGAGTCCCTCTCTCACCCTCCTCTGGTTAAGAGGTAAACTCTGCAGAAGGGCCAATGCCCAGTGGGAGGCAGCCAGAGACCCTCCTGATCTTTAGCTGGGGAAATAGGGCTGGGGTGGAGGCAGCACCAAAAGGCTCACAGACTCCAAGCAAAGGCATTATGGGACTTTATTTACAGACAGGTCACAGCAACCAGGGCCCACACAGGCTCAGGCCAGAAGACTCCAGATATATATACATGTACAGGTCCCAGCACCCAGCAGCACCAGAGCCATTGCCAGCCAGGTCCCTGCCAGAGGGACCAAGAGTCAGGCAGTGTCGAGGGCAGGAAAGGGAGAGGGCCCCAGCCCTTGCCAGATATCAGAGGTCACAAGTTGTGGCCCCCAAGCCAGAGGAAGAAACTACCCTCGTCCCTGAATTGTGGACACTGAGTAGTATGACAGGGGAGAGCCCCTCCTGTGTCCAGCCTGTACTCTCAACGCCAGGTCTCGGGACAGAAGTCCCAGTGCCAGCATCTTGGGGCATGGAGACACTGCAGGCCCCCTCCAGACCTGTCCAGGAGCCGGGCGTGGAGCAGGTGTCCCAGGCCATGGCTGCCCATCACACGGGGGGCTCCCCCAGTTTGCTGGTGGCACTTGTGATCCGCTTATTTTCCCGGAGGTTTCGGAGGCGGGCACTGAGGCTGCTGATCTCTTCCACGTAGGCCTGGGGCACCCACCCTTTCTCGCCATCTGCCAGGCGGACCCCCTCCAGCCAGCCTAAGGGCACATAGGCCAGAAGTTGCATCAGTGGCATCAAAGGAACACCTGGGCTAGGTCTGTGAGGAAACACCTAGGCCCTGATACAAGCCTCAGCTGCAGCCCTGGGGCCGAGGTGACATCATCTCAGCATCCCCCAGATCCAGGAAGGAGCATGCCTCTAGCAGACTTGTAGATGAGCTTCTGACCTGTTTTTCCTGACATCCTCTGAGAAGGGACTTCCCACTCTCCCTCATCAGTTACTCTCAATCCTAATCTTTGAAAGCAGGAAGTTCCTCCTCTTGTCTAACTTGATTCTTTTTTTTTTAATTTATTTTATTTATTTATATTTTTTAACTTGATTCTTGAATGCTGTGGTTGATCAACACTTGCATAACCTTTTTCCTGTGCAGTCTTAGCTACCTAGCTACTTCCTGCCCACCGAAGCCCCATCAGGGCGGCCTTCCCAGGAGGCCCCTCTCACCATCACTGGTCCGGGTCCTCACTGCCAGGATGTCAGTCTTCTCCAAGGTCAGCTCGTCTGGCTGCAGTGCCTTGTATGTCCTGACACACTGAACCTGGGGGTGGTCTGAGAGCCCAAGGAAGAGTGAGGGAGTCCCCAGGGTAGGATGGGGCAGGGGGAGGCAGGGAGAGGCCGCAGGAGCAAATAAGGGCTGGGAGGGTAGTCTCTACTGCTGCTTTTCCTCTGTCCACCCTGGCCACTCTTTTCTCTGACCCTAAACACAAGTTCTAGGTGAATCCAGTCTCTCCCAGCTTCGATACTGCTTCTGTGCCTGGGCTCTCATCTTCCCAGCTCAATTCAATACTTTGTTCCTGACTTCCTGGTCTAACTGCCCCCAGAAAGCCCCCACAAAACAGTAATGGTCCCTTTGTATGTCCCCTCATGCTACTCTGGTGTTCCCTCCAGTCCCTCCTTCTCAGCTGAGATTCAAGCCACATCACTCCCCCATTTATAATCCTCCAGGGCTTCCCGCTCCTCTTAGAATAAAATCCAAAGTCCTCCCCACAGCCTACAAAGCCCTACACAGTCTGGTGTGGCCCCCCTTGTTAACCTCCTCATCTCCCTCATCTTCCCCTCTCTCTTCACTCATGAAGCTCAGCCACACTTGTCACCCTGCTGTTCCTCAAACACTCTAGGCTCCCTCCTCCTTCAGGGCCTTTGCACTGGCTGTTCCGTCTTCCAGGAATGATTTTCCCCAGATCTTTTCATGGCTGCCCCTCCCCATCCTTCAGGGGCCTTCCCTGACCACCTCTTTGGAGTGGGAAGTTTACCCTCCAACCCAAACAGGACCTCTAGCTCAAGTCAGAGAATCAGCTCCAGTCCAGGCCCTCAGCCGCTTCTACCACACTAGGTGGGCTGGGAGTATCGGGAAAACCACAGGCCTTGGGGCCAGACCAGCTTATTGGCTGTATGACCTTGCAGGTTACCTAACATTCCTGGGCCTCAGTTTTATCAGATAGGAAAAATGAATAGGATTTTTGACTAATGACTAATAGGATCATCATGAGGATTAAATAAAATAAAGGCATATACAAAGCCCCTAGCACCCTGGCACATGGAAGGTACTGGGTGGAAAGGAGTTCCCTACCTTCCCCTTCATTAGCTTAGCCTTAACATCCTCTCTCAGAAACCTTCCAAAGCTACCTGGTACCCACTACACCAAGATGCTCTCTGATTGGGCTGCACCCTAGCTTACCAGCCTCATTTCATACCCAGAGAAGCCTCTGGCTCAACGGAGCAGATCCCTCATCCTACCACCCCCACCCCCATGCCCCAGCCACTCTGGTTTCCGTCCTCTTTGCAACTGATGCAACGCTAGAGACAGACCTGGGTTCCAGTCCCAGCTCTGCCACTTACTAGCTGAACTTGGACAAGTCACTTTACCTTTCTGAATCTGTTTTCTAACTTGTAAAATGGGGACGAAATGGGAGGATGTAAAAGGCTATGTCATCTCCAGGGTGCTACCTGTGCACGTGGAGGTTGGTCTGTCCTATGTCAAGCCTACCCATCCTTCAAGCTTTCACAGAGCTGCCCCTGCCTGCCCCAGGCCAGTTGATCTCTCTTCACACTAGCCCCGCTGGCAACAGGACACCCGGGGCTGGAGGAAAGGGGAGAGCAATGAGGTACCCAGCCCAGGGAATGTGGCTCCAGTGGGGGTAGGGGGCAGGCTGTTACCTTCCCCCTCGCTGATGACCTCCCTGTCCTCCTGGGGGGTAGAGGGGCACATGGCTGAGATCCATCGCTGCTTCTCGCTTCTAGGGAAAGGGGGGTTGAGTTGTCACAATATGCAAAGTGCAGTCTCCCAGGGCCAGGGTGGTGAAGCCGGAGGTGGGAGAACTGGGTACGATGTCCAGACCTGGGACCCAGAATCAGGTCTTCTCTACCCCAGGGCCCACCCACGGCCCTGTTCCCAAGCCGATGCCCACCCAGCTCTGAGCATAAGAACAGAACAGGTGCAGGACACCCTGGATGCCAGCTCTGCCCATGTCCAGCCTTATGCCACCATCCTGAAGCCAGAGATAAAGGCCTTGTGCCTGCCGGGGGGTCCTCTCCCCACACCCAAGCCCACTCACTCTGTCCGGGCCCTCAGCAGGAACTGGTGCTTCGTGTGCTGCCCATGGAGGAGTTGAAGGAGGAACACATGGCCAGGGATGCCCTGGAGCTTCAGGCTCAGGTCCTTCACCTGCAGCTCAGCCATCCTGGCGTGTACAAAGACGGCGAATTTCCCCAGCCTGCAGGACCAGAGGAGGCGAGGTCAGCCTGGCCCCCACCCTCAGGACAAGGTGAGTTCTGATTGCAAGAGAGGAGAAGGGGTCACCTGTCCCTCTAGGACCCTCCTCAAAGAAACTTGGCTGCACAGGGCACCGCTTCCCTGGCAGCCAGCAAAGTCCCTAAAAGGAACGGGGGCTCCATTCGTGCTGGCTCACTGACAGAGGTGGAAGGTGATGGAGGCCAGTCCCTGGCCCCCAGGCACACTTTCCACTTCTCTCTGAACCTCTTCCTGGAGGCTCTGCTCCAAAGAACCAACTGGGCAGCTCCCATGATGAGATCTATGGACTGTTTCGTGTCTGACTCTGTAACTGGTAGAGAAGCTGAACTTTGTCTCGTTTGCCGCTGTATCCCAGCGCCCAACACTGCCAGGCCCACTGTTTGGGTCTGATAAACCCTTGTGGGAAGGATGCGTGGGTGGGTGGGTCAAGGATGTTCCATAAATTCCTTCATCTCAACCCATCTAAACAAAACCAGTATCTCCTACCCCAAACCAGGTCCCTTCACTGTTCCCCATTCCAGTGAAAGACGCCACCAAGTTGCCCAAAAGGAGACTCAGTCCTCATTCTCACCTCTTTCCTCCCTCTCCCCTGACACCCAACCAGTAGCTGTGTCCTATCTGTCCATCTCCTTATTGTCCCCAGAATCCAGTTATCCCCAAGCCCATTACCACTTCTGGAGCATCTACTCTGATTTGGGCAGTTACAAGAGCTTCTGCTCTCTGCCCTTCCAGCCCATTCTCCAAATTGGCCAGGAGTAAATATCACGCCTCTGCTTAACTCCCCATGTTCCCTACTGCCTTCAGAAAATCTAGCCTCCCTGCCATGACTTTCAACATCCCAACTTCCTTCTCCTGCCCTTCCCCTCTATAAATCCAGCCATACTAGGCTTCATCGTCTCCCAAACATACTCTGCTCTTGTACCCTTCTGTGACTTGGCTATATCCCCCCAAATTCCTCTACCTGAAAAACTCCTACTTATCCTTCAAAACCCAACTCAGATGTTCCTTCCTCTGTGAAACTTTACTGATTCTCACCCCACACCAGGGGATACTACAGTATACTACCCCCTTCCATCAAAACCCTGAACAGGTGGTTATCAGGATGTATTTTCACTGGTCTGAGAGCTCCTACACACTTTGGAGGGCCCAGTATAGAATAGGGATTCAGTGATGCTTCATTGAATGAATGAGTAAATCAGCAATGAACTCTTTTCACGGCATAGGATGTCCATCCTTTTCATGGCATAAGATGTCCCATCCAGCCTTAAGGCTTACTTCATTCCAGAAGTCTCTCCCTCATCCCAAACTTATAATAATCAAGGCTAACACTGAGTGAATGTTCATTATGTACCAGGCACTCTGCTAAACTCTTCACATATTATCACATTGAATCTCCCTTCTATTTTACATATGGAAGACAGGATAGTACAATAGTTAAGAGCCTGCGATCTGGCATCAGACAGACCTGGCCTCCTCCTGGCTCCTGCACTTACTAGCTCCATGATCTTGAGAAAAACAAGGGAGACTACTTCTCAGGAAGATGACTAGAGGATTAAAGGGAACAATCCACATAGCATGCCTGGAACAGAATACACACTCAGTAAATGTTGATTATTATCATTATGACTCAGGGGAGACTGGGACTCTAGGGTTGTGCTTTTAATCTCTGCTCCAATTAGCTTAAGCTCAGAGCAGCTTCAAAGTTCTTGGCACACAGTTCAGCCCTTGATTCTCAGGTCCAGAAGATGGACTTGCCCTAGCTCTGCCTTTCCTAGGGGAACCTCCAAGGCTCAGGGAGCCCTGGGAGCACAGCCCGTCAGATGGACTGATTGTGAGCCCATTGGCGGGGAAGAAGAGAGCTCCACGCTCATCTACACCCACCCCCGCCCCGACTCACTCCTTCCTCCGGGAGAGCAGCAGGCAGTCGTTGAAGAGGTGCAGGTAGACCGCCTTGCTGGATAGCTTCAGCTTGGCAGGGGGTGCTGCGGGCAGCGGGGCCAGCTCCACCAGCTCCCCGTGCCGAACCAGCCAGCGGGCCTGCGAGATCAGCGGGAAGATCTGGAAGGATAGAGGAGGCAAGCGGGAGCCCAGGTCAGGCCGGGGGCAGCGGGGCAGAGAGCACAGGGCAGGGGATGGGAGGGCTGGACAGTGATGAACTGGCTTGCAGCCCCCAGGGAAGGAGGAGACAGGGCTGCCCCTTCGCGTGCCCCATCCTATCGGCTGAGGTCACGCACCTTGCCCTCAAAGTGGATCTTCTTGCTCAGGTGGATGAGCTCCTCCGTCCTCTTCATGGACTGCACACTGGCATTGCACTCTTGCACCAGCTGGGGAGACCAGAGGTGGGTCACCTGCAGCGCCCCCTACCCCGGCTCCCAGAGCCCAGCCTCAGGCTCCCACCTGGGGACCAGAGACTCTGAAGGCTGGGGCTCCTTTAGAGGCACACAGGGATTCCGGGGAGGCCCTTGGAAGCCAGACATCCCCCGCCCTGCCGAGCTCACCTCCTTGAGTGCATTGAAGGCCTTGGTGGCCATGTCTTCGTCTTCTGAACCCTGTGCTGTCCGTTTCAGGATGTTCTGGAGGGCGGGGTCAGCACAGTGAGGCAGGCTGTGACCTCTCCCAGTGACCCTGACCAGCTGTGGGTGCCCGGAAGGGGCTGCGGAGGGCACAGCAGCATCTCCCCCACCCAGCCCTCCCCACAGCCTGGTACCCTCTAGGTACCTCCACCAGCATCTTGAGGCGGGTGATCCTTTGAAACGGCAGGATGAGGAAGGACGTGAGGGGCAGACGCTGGCACACGGGAGACTCCTCCAGGCGAGCCAGGATGCTGGGGAACTTGGGGTTCTCCAGGCTGGAAAATGGGGAGAGGGGAGGGTCTGCGATCACAGGTGACCCTGAACTCCTGGATCCACGACTCCAGCCACCCCATTTGTCCTTGAGGTGCGTTCTCAGGAGAGAGCCCTTCTCAGGTACCCCTCCCCTCCCAGGTCACCCTTCCTCACCCAGTCCTCTGCGCCTACTGCTGCCTGAGACTCCCCTATCCTCCCCCACCTCCCCTTTCAGAGCCCCCAGCCCTACAGCAGCCGCTGGTAGGTGCGCTCCTGATAGGCCTGGTTGGTGACATAGGGCAGGTAGACGCGGCGGAAGGCCGGACAGTGGTGCAACACAATATCGCACACGCTGAAGCGCAGGACATCGGCCTCCAACCGCTGCTCCAGGTCCTGTAGGAACCTGAAAGGTCAGAGAGGGGTCAGGGCCAGCACCAGGATGAGACCCCAGATATGGGAGCCCAGGCTCGGTCCCTGACTCCCGGCAAGGCCAGACCACTCCCTCACCTCTCGCTGGTGCTCTTGACCTCGGGCAGTTTGGAGAACAGCCACTGCTTGTCCTGCACCCCCAGACACTCACTCAGCTCGGCCGAGCCTAAGAAGTGGCACACGGCCACCGACAGGCTGTGGATGTATGAGGCCTCGGACGTAATCAGCTCAAATTTGGCCTGAGTGAGGGCGGACGCAGGATTGAAAAGGCGGAACCAGCCCACGCTGAATGCGACCGCTTCGCCCACCACGCACACCCCAAGCCCTGGACACCACCTCCTTAGACGTAGCTGCACTCCCGTATCGCCTCCCCTTCTCTAGCCTCACCCAGGATCTGGCGCCAGATGGGGTTCGGAGACACGCCTCCTGCTTCTTGCGATTGTCCAAACCCTACTGCAGCCCTGGTTTGCGCCCCTAGCTCCGCCCATCCAGCCGGGCCCTAGTCTTCTGATGGCCCTGCCCCTCCCTGGTGCGCCCTCCCATGAGCCCCGCCCTCCCACCGACCCCGCCCCTGCTCTTCTTCTCGCTAGGTCCTGCGCGCACCTTGCATTTTGCGCTCTGCATGGCTCCCCCCTCCCAGTCCCCGCTTTCAGTGTTCTCTGTCATAAGGCCCAGCCAGATTCCGCCCTTCCTCTGGCCCTGCCCTATCCTAGGCCTTGCCCCGTTGACACGGCCCCTCCATCGAGCTTCCCCACTCGCCTTTGACTCCAGGGCTCCTGCGTCCTCGCTTGCATCCAGCCTCACCTTGTCGTGTTCTAGACCCATCTTCCCCATTGACAGCCCCTCTTTTGTGGCCCCTCTTTCCCCGCTGGATCCCATGCCCACCTACTGCAGTTTGTAGTCCCGCTGGCCGGGTACCCCTGCGGCCCGCGTCGCCGCAGAGTCCGCGGACCACCAACTCCTGACCCCGCCCCTTATGTTGCCCCGGCCTCTTTGGGCCCCAGGACCGCCTCCCACGGCTGGCAGTCCCGCCGGCCCCGCCCGCCGGGTCCCGGCGCCCACCTCCTGCAGTTTACAGTCGCGCAGGCTCAGCGTAGCCAGGACGCCGCTGCCGCGCACGTCGGGGATGTCTTGCCACAGCGAGAAGGTGGAGCCTCGCGCCGAGCGCTGCGCCCGGAAGGAGCTGCTCGGGGAGAGGTTGGCGCGCGGCGGCCCGGGCCCCTCCTCCGCGCCCTCGGCCTCGTCCCCCGGACCCTCCTCCTCGCGCTGCTGCCGCCGCAGTTCGCGGGCGCTGGCCACGTCGCTATATTCCTGGTAGAGGACCGCTGGGCGGGGAGAGGGGCGGGGGAGGGCCGTGGGGCGCCCGCCAGCCCTGCCCGGCTCTTCCCAGGCTCCCCCGAGGGCCCGCCTCGCTTAACCAGCCTTTCCGATGGTTCGGATAGCGGGACTCAGTGAATTCATTAATTCACTCACTCATTCCACGAACACTACTTGAGCACCAATTGCGTGCTAGCCCCTGTGCTGGATACTGAGAGTTCAATTCTCTCCCTCTCACAAGAGCCCTACCTCTCAACTCTCCAAACCCGTTTCCCAGTACACCAAAGCCCCCAGACCCTTCCTCGGTGACCCCCTCCCACGTACAGTTAAGGAGGAACCGTGACTGGCGCCGCTCGCTGGCGCTTCTGGAACCCGGAGCCGGCTCTTCCTGCGCATCTAGCCTAAGAAAGGGAGTGTCAGGGCCCTTCTTCACCTGTTACCCCGCCTCGGACCCAAGGCCGCAGTGGGAGGTGGTACCTGGGCTCGGGCCAGCTGCCGTAGCCCCCGCTCAGGTCAACAAGAGCCGGCATCGCCATAGCGTCCACCCGCATCTCTACACTGCGCGACTCTCTTCCAGACGCTTTCCCTGGAGGGGGCAAGAGCTGAGGGAGGGTGGCCCCAAGAGTGGCGCTGGGCACCAGGGCACCACCACACTCCAGATGACCAGGCCCCAGTCTCAGGTATCCAGTGAGCGTGAGCTGTGCCCCACCCCGCGTCTGGCTCTTGGGCTGTTCTTAGGGCCCAGGGGAGGAGGCTGTACCTTCCCGGGCAGCAGCTCCAGGGCCTGACCCTGGGGTCAGTGCCCTGGCTGCCGAATTCCGTCCCAGGCGCAGGGAAGAGTGCAACCGGGTCATCAGCTCAGAGGCTGAGAAGCGCCTCCGCTCAGGCCCCTCGAGGCCCACTCGGGTGGGCCCAGGCAGCTCCAGCGGCCTAGGCTCTGCTGTGCTCAGGGCCTGTTCTGTCGCCTGGCTTGGCTCTAGGAAGACAGCATGGGCCTCAGGGCTGCCAAGGGCCTCTTCTTGCTGGTACACCCGCATCTTGCGCCCTGCAGGGGGAGGTGGGGTGAGAGAGAATAGACTGGCATCCACTGGGGTCTCTCCTCTCCTCCCTGCCGCCGCTCTGTGGCCCTGAGCATCAGGGGGATGTGCCTATGAGAAAGGCCAATGTTTTTGCCGGGTACTTTCCCCAGAGTAATGGGATCAACAAGAGGGGCAGAGAGGAAGCAAAGTGCCTGACTGCAGTCGGCAACGGGTGGGCAAAGGACCAGGGAGGCCAGGCCAGCCACTCACTGTGTAACCTCAGACAAGTCATTTGCCTCCCCTGAGCCCCAGTTCCCTTATCACTAAAATCTATCACTTGTCCCACCTATTTGGGGAATTTGGGGGCTTACGGGTCCTAAAGGAGCCACCCAACCTCTTCCCCGTCCTCCCCACCAGGCCACCACCCCCCCACCCTGAGTGACTCACAGGCTGACTTCTTCTCCGAGCCGTGGCTGGCCCGGCGCTGTGGCTGTAGGTGCTGGGAACTCCAGGGTCCCTCGAGAGCTGGGGACTGGGCACTAGGACAGTGTGGCCAGCTGCCAGCCCTGCTGGGCCGCATTCCCCCACCGGTAGAGATCTCGGTGTCTGGGCCTCCTGGGGATGGTGGCCATAGCAGCCCTTGGAGAGGAGCAGGGGTCCCCAGAGACCAGCGGCTGCCAGGTGCCTGCAGCTCCTCTGGAGCGACGGGGAAGAGATCCAGACACACAGGGCTCGGGGGCTGCAGGGTGGGCAACTCCGCAAAGGACAGACTCTCCTGCTGGCACACAGCTACTGGGCGGTGGGCAGTGCCAGGTGGCCCAGCCAGATGGGACTGGAGGGCGGGAGGTGGCCCACAGTCCATTCCTCCTTTGCTCTGCCACCCACCTGGGCCTGCAGGGGAGAAGGCATCAGAGCGAGACACAGGACAGCAGGGCTGGCCAGTAAGCACCATGTCCTGGAGACCTGGACAAAGCCTTGTGTACACACATCTGTACAAGCACACACACACCTTATTATATAGTAATAGCTAATGCTTACTTGGCACTTACTGAATGACAGGCCAAGTACTTTACACATCTTATTTCATTTAATCCTCACAACAACCCCGAGTTGATACTATTATTAGCCCCTTTTTATAGGTGACGGCAGTGAGGCACAGAAGTTGTTATTTGGCAAATAATGGAGCCAGGATTCAAACCCAGGCAGTCTAGCTTCTGAGTCTGTGCTTTTAAGCACCTTGCACATTTCCTAACTCTCATTGACATGCAATCAGACATACAGACACACACATTGTCACACAAACCCATGTCTGTTCCATGCACATCCACACACATTTTCTTCCAAGTATACACATTGACATACATACTTTCACAGATATACTCAGACATTTCTAATTCGCAGGCTCACACATTCACACACACTTTTTTATACAAGTACATATATTCACTCAGACTTTCACAAACACATGATGACCCATCAGATATTTCCATATCCACTCAAGTTTTCTCACACTCCTGTTCCATTCACGCTCACACACCATGATGCAGATACAAACACACAGGCCCAGAAATCCTTGCTTTGGTGTTACCCAACCTCCCCTCCCGCGCCCAGAGTTGTAGCCTTTAGCACTGAGTGGTGCCCACACCCATGCCAAGCTGGCTGGGAGGGTCACACACTGGCAGGCGGGCCACCACGCAGATCAGACTGGGCCCTCCCAAGAGACGGGCAGGGAAGTGCCCCAGCCCCTCAGCTTGGGGTGAGGGAGGGGTTCTTCCCTACCCCAGCTCCCCGCCCCAGGATCGGGCCAGGCTGAATGGGTCCTCTCTGGGCAGGACGTCATCCCGAGGGAGGCTGCCGGAGCCTCAGGACAGGTCTACTGATCAAGGGGTCTGAGCCCCCCAGCCCTTGCCCCGTGGCCCTTTGCTGGCTGCCCTCCTGCAGCCCCTCACCTCTCCAGCCAAGGCCCACTGCTGATGTCGCTCGGCTGCTCCGGCAGGGGAAGCCCTCTCTCTGCCCAGCTGGCTGGGGGAGATCCCACCCAGACAAAGAGTTTGATTCATCAAACCCTGTGGTAAGGCAAGCGGGTAGGGAGGGAGGGAACAGGCAGCGGGCTGGGCGGGGGCCTACCCTAGCCTGGCCTCGCTGTGGGCAGGCTGGGCAGCGAGGACCCCCCAGAGGCCCCTTCAGGCCAAAGGGGCAGTGCCCAGCCTCGCAGGGCCAGGAGACCCAGGAGACAGAGACTGAGAGACCGAGGGACTGAGACCTGGAAAACTGAGACCCTTTAGACAGCAACCCAGAAACCAAGACCCCAAAGCACTCAAAACCAGAAAACCACAGACGCTGAGACATTCAGGGACCCAGAGATGGAGACACAGAGACAGAGACACTGAAAATTTCAGACAGACCAGATATTCAGAGACAGATGTGAAGCCCGGAAAAACTCGGGGAGACACATGGGCAAATGTTTCATTTCCCGCAGGATTGCCAGTCTCGTGGGGAAGCCAGAAATGAAAACAGTTACAATCCAGGTTGGCAAGAGCCAACCCAGAGGAACCGTCAGATTAGGGTGCTGGGCTCCGCTCAACCCGGGCATTCCAGGAAGGCATCCTGGAGGAAGTGAGAGTGAACTGTTCTGGCTGAAATACCCAAGGACCCAGGTCCACAGAGATAGGGAGAAAGCCTCGGCATGAGAGAAACAGTGACAGTGTCAGTGACCCTGGGAGAGAGGGAAAGAGGGGAGGACCCAGTGGAGGACAGCTGGATCTGTGCCTGGGTCCCACTCTCTGCAGTCCCTCAACCTGCTTCCCCCTGCTTTCTCATCCCCTGCCTGGAGTACAGGTAGGGTGGCTGCTCCTGAGGGACAGTTACTCCTCCAGACCCTCCCCACAGGGAGCAAGTCTCTTCTTATCTGGTAAATGGGACAGTCATGCTTCAAAACGCTAATAGGAGAATTAAGAATAATGCAGGCGGCGCTTCCCTGGTGGCGCAGTGGTTGAGAGTCTGCCTGCCGATGCAGGCGACACGGGTTTGTGCCCCGGTCCGGGAAGATCCCACATGCCGTGGAGCGGCTGGGCCCGTGAGCCATGGCCGCTGAGCCTGCGCGTCCGGAGCCTGTGCTCCGCAACGGGAGAGGCCACAACAGTGGAGGCCCGCGTACCGCAAAAAAAAAAAAAAAAAAAAAGAATAATGCAGGGGGACTTCCCTGGCAGTCCAATGGTTAAGACTCCTCGCTCCCAATGCAGGGGGGCACAGGTTCAATCCCTGGTCGGGGAACTAAGATCCTGCATGCCTCACGGCGCAGCAAAAAAAAAAAAAAAAAAAAAAGAATAATGCATATGAAGCACCTATCACATAGTGGGAGCTTTGCAGTTGGTAGTCATTCTTCTGAGTGTTATTAGTCTTTCTCTAGTCGGATGGCTTCAGCCATCACAGAATTAGGGAAACTGAGGCAGTGAGGGTGAGACACACCCTATTTTGTAGGAGCGTGTGGCAGGAGACACAGGGGACCACTGCCCACCAGACAGGTCTCTTTCTCTGCTGGAATCAGAAGTCCTTAACACAGAAGTCCCACTTGCTTCTGTGGGTACACATGTGCAAGAATACACACTCTGCTCCCTTGTATTCTGGGTGATTCTCTCCACTTGGGTTCTGGAAGCCCCTACAGGGCAGGGAGGAACCCCCTGCCCTTGTCAGTTGCAGGGATAAATGAGCAAAACATGGAACCCTTGGGGCAGGAGCACCCCCAATTTTTTTTTTTTTTTCGGTACGCGGGCCTCTCACTGTTGTGGCCTCTCCCGTTGCGGAGCACCGGCTCCGGACGCGCAGGCTCAGCGGCCATGGCTCACGGGCCCAGCCGCTTCGCGGCATGTGGGATCTTCTCGGACCAGGGCATGAACCTGTGTCCCCCGCATCGGCAGGCAGACTCTCAACCACTGCGCCACCAGGGAAGCCCGCACCCCCAATTTTTAAAAAAATTTCTTTTTTTGGCCATGCCACACGGCATGCGAGATCTTAGTTCCCCGACCAGGGATCGAACCTGTGCCCCCTGCCGTGGAAGCGCAGAGTCCTAACCACTGGACCACCAGGGGATTCCAAGGAGCACCCCCTATTAAAGCCTCAGAGGAGAAGGCTGGGTAAATGGAGGGGGCGTGTAAGGCTTCCTCAGGGGCCACAAGGCTGGAGGCAGGTCCCTAGGGAGGAAGTCAGGAGTGGGTCAGCCTCCACCTCCGTCCAGGCCAAGGGACAATGAGAATGACCCATCTAGCCAGGATGCCAGCCCTGTGGCCTTCCATGGATGTTGTCCACTCAGCCTCAATGCTGGGGACCAAGGAGGGGCAGAACTATGTTCATAGTGTTTATAGCTTATCTCTGCTAGAAGAAAAAAAAAAAAAAAAAAACCTCAGGAAGAGACTGGCCCCAGGTAACAGAGGGACATTACCTGCCCAAGACATTGTCACAGGATACTCTAGTGCCCACTAGGCAAGGGTCATTCTGGAACCCACAGGGGAAAACCCCTGCCAACGTTCAAGGCCCTGCGTTGACACTGGCCTTAGGCAAATCATAGCCTGGGCCTGGGCCTGAGTGTGCCCATCTGTAGAGCAGCCCCTAGGGCCCCTCTCAACCACCCCATCTAGGAAACTTTGGTCATTGTGAGTATCTCTGCAGGCTGAGAAGGATGGGCAGGGCCAGAAAGGGTCCCATCCAGTGGGCACTGCTAATCACATGGACAATGGGCCCACTTGGTAAGGCTGGCAGGGAAGGTCCCTGGACACTACTATGGTCCGGAGAAAGCATCTCTGACCTCCTGTGCCCAGCTTTTCCCTTCCCCCTCCCTGGTGCCCCCTGCCCTGCTGCCTGAGGAGTAGGGCCCTGCCAGGGCCCCTCTTCTCCTTAAGGGGCAAGGCCAAGTGGGAGGTCATGACTGGAAAGGGAATCCAGGCCAAGCAGGCTGTGGAGCCCCAAGAGGCCTTAAGTGTGTGGGAGCCAGGATCAGAGGCCAGGCAGGCTGCACAAAGGACTCACTTGGGAAGACTGGCGGGAGGAGGATGGGGTTGCTGGCAGCCAGGTGGGGCCCTACCTCATCCAGGGAGCTCCGTCCAGCCTCCAGCACGGTCCAGGGCTCCAGGACACCCTGGGAGCTCTGGGGATGCAGCCGGGTCCTCAGGGGTCGATGTCAGCATGGCCCCTGAGCCAGGCAATGCAAGCTCCCGGGTATTGTGTGGGGCAGGGAGAAGGGGAGGCAAGGGCGGAGGGAACCTCGCGGGCGGGCAGGCGGCTGTCTCAACGTGCCTGCTCCCCGCCCCCCTTTCCCAGAACCGGTTTGGCCAGTCTGAGGTACAAGAGGGGGGCTGGAACAATGGGAGTCCTATGCCCAGGAGAGGCTCTGAAGGACCCCAGACCGACATCCTAAAGATGGGGGAGGCACTGCTTTTCCTCCCAGGGGACAGACAGGTCACCCCTCTTCTGGAGCTTCCCAAATGTGAGATGTGCTCAGGGGGCTTCTTGGGGCTGGGGAGCATCCTGGGAGTTTTGCAGAGAAACTCCCAAGCCTTGGTCTCCTCAGGGATCCTGAGAACTCTGCAGTGTGTTGATCCTCTCTGAGCCTGCTACAGCATCTATAAAGGAATCACTCATCTCTATGGTTGGGAGGCGGAAATCGTGAAAAACAGTGATGTGACATACCTGGCACCATCCTGGCCATCCTCCCAGCATCACAGCTCCTCATGAATGATCTATCCTCCCCTGCTACCTGTAATGACCCACCCTCACCATCTCCAACAGCCTCCTCCACCAGACTTCCCAGACTCTAGTCCACACTGAATGAGCCCTCAAAAAACCAATTCAATGTCCCGAATGGATAAAGAAAATGTGGCACATATATACAATGGAATATTACTCAGCCATAAAAAGAAACGAAATTGAGTTATTTGTAGTGAGGTGGATGGACTTACAGTCTGTCATACAGAGTGAAGTAAGTCAGAAAGAGAAAAATAAATACCGTATGCTAACACATATATATGGAATCTAAAAAAAAAGAGGTTCTGAAAAACCTAGGGGCAGGTCAGGAATAAAGACGCAGATGTAGAGAATGGACGTGAGGACACGGGAAGGGGGAAGGGTAAACTGGGACGAAGTGAGAGTGGCATGGACATATATACACTACCAAATGTAAAATTGCTAGTGGGAAGCAGCCACATAGCACAGGGAGATCAGCTCTGTGCTTTGTCTCCACTTAGAGGGGTGGGATAGGGAGGGTGGGAGGGAGACGCAAGAGGGAGGGGATAGGGGAATATATGTATACATATAGATGATTCACTTTGTGATAGAGCAGAAACTAACACACCATTGTAATGCAATTATACTCCAATAAAGATGTTAAAAAAAAAATTCAAATAGCCCAGTGGTATGCAATCTTCGCATGCCTTCTTTTTTTTTTTTTTTTTGGCCACGCAGTGAGGCTTGTGGAATCTTAGTTCCCCGACCAGCAATTGAACCCCCCGCCCTGGCAGTGAAAGCGTCGGAGTCCTAATGGACCACAGGGAATCCCCTTCGCATGCCATTTATTTGAGCAATTGGTAATTGCCAGACACTTAATATGAAGATGTATACAAATACTAATACTCACGTTGCTTAACTATTGTACACTCCCTGTGTGCCGGGCACCGTTCTGAGCACTTCACATAAATAATCATTTAATATCCACCACAACCCAGATAGATACTGTTGCTGCTCCTACTTACCAGATGAGGACATGAGACTTGTACATGTTAAGTACATTATCCCATTTAAACCTCTCATCAGTTCTATGAAGTCCCTATCTTACAAATGATGCAATTGAACTTGCCCAAGGTCACACAGCAAATAAAAGTCAGAATTCATATTCAGACCCAGGTCTGTGACTCCACCACCAATCTGTGCCCTTAACTACTGCCCAGTACTGCCTCACCAGGCTTTGGGGAGGATCTGGTGAAGAGTGTGTGGAAGTCCATTGGAAGGTGTCTCAGCTGACCTAACTATAGACACTTTCATTACTATTGACACACTACAGGTCTTGATGAGCATACAGGGCAGCAGGTCCACGCCCAGACCCTAATGAGCTCTCCCTTACCAACTGCTGACCATTCAGTTCAGAGAGGTTAGGTCCCTTCACTCCTTCATATCCACTTCGCCCCCCAGAGCACAGTCACATAATGAGGAGACACTGCACAGAGCGGTTGGGGACCAGATGTCCATGGAGAGGTGGCACGCTGGGGCGCAGAGAGGATTATTGTCAGCGTTGCACATAGAGCAGGACACTGGAAACATGAAGAGGGAGGCAATGCAGGACTAGGGGTCTTCAGAGAACCCCAGCCCTCTAAGCCCAACTCCAGGGCCGACCTTGGGGCCGCTGGCCAAGGTACTGCCCAGACCCCTAGCTGGAAGCAGAGGACCCCAAAGGAGGGAGGATCCTGGGGGAACTAGGGTCTTGGAAGGGCAGTCTCTCCTCACTCGACCCTACGTCCTAGGCTCTGGGAACAGCGCCCTTGTTGCAGTGGACGGAAAGCAAGGCTAGGTCGGGCTGAGCAGGAGGGCCCTCCAGAGCAGAAGCGACAGTGGTGGAAACAGTGTAAAAGAAGGGGCGTAGCGTGCGCGGAGCTGGATGAAGAGGGAGGCCAGGCGAAAATTTGAGGACAAGCGGCCAATCCTGCCCCCGGGCGAGGCCAAGCAAGAGGACGGGGCAAGAAAGCAGAGCATAGGCCTGGGGGCAGGCAGAGGGGCGTGGTCAGAGGGTGGGGCCAGGGTCCGTGGGCGGCGCTAACCGAAAGTAGCGCCTCCCTGTCGTCCTCCAGCGCCTGCTTGGCCAGGTAACGCTCGCGCTTTATCTTGGTAGCCAGGGCGGCTGGCACGTCGGGCACGAGCCAGGCGATGAGGCCCAGGAAGAACACCACGTGCTGGGGAGAAGGAGGGGCCAAAGAGAAGGACTGCTTTAGCAATCTTAATCTGCCGAGCGTTTACTAAGTGCAAGGCACTCTTCTGAGGGTTTCCGGGTATTCATTCAGTTAATCCTCACAACTCTGGGCGGTGAGTAAATTACTTCCCCTGTTTTACCTGTAAAGAAACCGAAGCATAAAGAGGTCCTCATTTGCCCAAAGACACAGAGGTATAATTCGAACCCCTTAACACCAGGGACCCTGTTAGAATCAGAGCTAGAGAAAGAGGATCTTGAGCAAAGCTGGAAGGAGCTCCAGGGCTGTTGCCAAGAGACAATAATAGTAGTAGTCGTGACATTAATTCACTGAGCACCCACTGTGCTGTGCAAGTACTTGCCACTGAATCTTCAGAGCGAGATCCTATGAAGGAGATCCTATTCTGTAATATACCCCGTTTACAGCCAGTCAGCCGCACAGCCTGAACTTGGACCCGGGTCTGTCCGACGCACAGATGGCTGAGCCTACCTCGAAGGCGATGATGAAGCCCAGACGCACAGCCAGCAGCTTCCAGTAGAAGAGGGTGAGATTCCTCTGAGCGTCGCGAAAGCCCTTGTACCTCGGTTGAGGAGGGCGCGGGGTCCCGCGAGGTTCTCGACTCCGCGACCGCACTCCCACCCCTCCCCACCCTAGAGCCTGGCCCTGCCAGGTTAGCAGTACCCTCAGCCAGCTCTGCCCTCTAGCCCGCCCCCTAGACTCAGCTTCCTGCCCTCCCAGTTAGGCCCCGCCCCACCCCTCCCACAAGCTCACTGCCCCGCCTCCAGATTCAGCACCCCGCCCCCAGCCAGGCCCAGCGGGTCCGCAGACTCGGGGCCCCGCCCCTCCCAAGCAGGCCCCGCCCCACCGCGTTCAGCCCCGGCCGGTGGTTCTCCCACCTGCAGGGCGTGTGGTTGCCCTAGGCAAGGTAAGGAGGGGGTGCGGGCGCCAGCATGAAGTTGACGTAGCCGCACAGCTGGCTGTGGTGTTACTGGTATAGGAGACGTGGCAGGAAGTCCGAGGTGAAGGCCATGAGGAAAGCCTGCAAGGGGGCTTCACAGGAAGGCCGTCCCGCCTTTCAGGGCCCAGTCTCCTAACTCATCCCCGCCCAGGTCCAGCCCCACTCCCGCAGGCAGGAGCCTGTGCCCGAGGATCCTAGCCTTCTGCCCCTATTTCCCAATCTCTCACCCTGATTTCCACCCTCAGCCCCCATTTCCCTATTCCCGAGCCTCCTCCCAGTCTCTGATCTTCATTTCCCCCTCTGACCCTGTATTTCCCTCCTTACCCCCCTCTCCTCACATTCACGATGACAGAAAGGTAGGCAATGGCTTCAAGCAGGAGCAGCCGGGTCTGCTCAGCCACCAGCCGCCAGTACTCGCACAGAACTTCTGGGTGTCCGGTCGGATCTCCACCCAGTTGTTGAGCAGAGCAAATAGGGGTGCCGGTGGGAAGGCTGCCACGAAGATGGTGATGAACCTAGACTGCAGCACTGGAGTTGGGGAGTGTCAGGCCTGGGGTCACCTCCCCTGCTGGGCCAGGCCCCCAGGAACCCTGCTGGGCCTGGTACTGCTGGGCCACTGCTCACCCATCTCCAGGTATTCATCAAACTGGCCCTTGAACTCAATGAGCTCACAGTCCTCTTCCCAGTGCCACTGCTCCTGCCTGATCTGGGTGTCCTGCAGCCCGGCCAGGTGTCTCTTCTGCTGCCAGGTCTTCAGCTTCCTGGGACAAGACAATGCCATTTCTATCCTCCCACTCCCTTAAAGATAGGCACCATGATTATTTACGCTTTACAGAGGAGGAAATGGAGACTCAGAGACCTGGCCCAAGGCTCCCCAAGTTGTAAATGGTGCAACCAGAGCTCAAGTCCTGTTCGTTAGACTCCAGAGTCCAGGGCTCTTAAACTCTGTGCTTCCTACATGGCCATTCTCGGTCTCTGAAAGCCCTTCCCCAATCTAAAATGCTAACAGAAAGCCCTCCTCTTTCCTGTTCAGCATATCATTTAATCCACTCAACTCTCTTGGAGAGGTATTATTGTCCCCATTGTACAAGTGAGCAAAGTGAGGCTTAGAGAGAAGCAAAGCCAGAGCTTACAGGAGGCAGAACTAGGACTTATGTTCCAGGGTCCTGACCCCCATGGTGGGGGGTGGTTTCTGCTTTGCTCTCATAAAGGCCCCCTGCCCCAGCCTGACTAGGCCCAACCCCCAGATCATCCCCTGCGCTCACAGCACAACGAACTCCTGCACGTTGCTGACCAGCTGTTTGCCCACTGTGATGATGAAGAGCTGTTGCGCAAGCTCGAGAAGTCAGCCTCCAGGCTCGCTGTGATTGGCAGACACACAGCACCTTACTCAGGGCTTAGGGGCTGGCCCCCTACTCCTTGGAGGCCCCAGAGGCAGATCCTGCCCTGCCAGACCTGAGGGTGTGATGCCCCCCACCGTCCCTCAAGAGCTGGCTCTCTAAGGATACTCACGTCCTCGTTCCACATGCCAAGCAGCCTGACATGCTCACCAGGGTATCCCACAAACCTGTAGACCCACCGCATCTGTTGGCAATGTGCCCACCCCTTCTGGAGCCAGGCCACAGCTAAACTCCATGCTGAGGCTGACCTCTCTCCCTGCCCACCCACTGAGAGATAACTCTGGTGACCGGGCTGCTGGGAGGCCTTGTCCCACCGCCCCCAACTAGGCTATGTTCCCAAGGCCTGTTGGGACCATGGCCCATATCTACTGCTCAACCCATGAGAAGTCAATTGGGTATTTCTGGGCCAGGAAGAGGGAGTCATGCTACTGGTGGGGGGAGGGGTGGTTCTTTTGGTGATTCTCCCTCCCATTCCTGCCAAATGACAATGGCAGTTACACAGTAACACCACCACCTCCTGGGAGTCTAGCCCTTGAGGACTCCTGACCCATCTTTGTTAAAAACTGGAAGCTCCTAGAGGGAAGGCCCAGCTCTGGTTCATTTCTGTGTCCCCAGCATCCAGTCCAGACTGCTCAGTGGAAAGGCGACCACAAAGATGGTGATGAAGCCAAATGTCAGCAATGGGAGGTTGAGTGAATGAATGAATGCAGGTGTTCGAGTTTCACATTTACCCAATGATGCACTGGAATATTACAGTTGAGAAAATTGAAGCCCAGGGATTTCCTTGGGGCAGCGGTTCAGACTCCATGCTCCCAATGCAGAGGGCCCAGGTTCGATCCCTGGTCAGGGAACTAGATCCCACGTGCATGCCACAACTAAGAGTTCGCATGCTACAACTAAGGAGCCTGCGAGCCACAACTAAGGAGCCTGCCTGCCGCAACTAAGACCCAGCACAACCAAAATAAATAAATAAATAGATATTTTTTTTTAAAAATTGAAGTCCAGGGAAATCAAGGACCAACTTCAAGGTCAAGACCTTGGTAGAGACAAATCTAGAGGCTCAAGGATGCTGCCACTCTGCTGGCAAATCATCTGAGAGTCGACAGCGTTGGTGGGGGTGGGTGGGGGAGTCCTCACCTGCCTTTGAAGAATGCCACAAAGAAGGGAGAGGAGTAGATGGACTCCCCTGGCGGTCCAGTGGTTAAGGCTCTGCACTCCCAGTGCAGAGGACATGGGTTCTATCCCTGGTTGGGGAAGATCCAGCATGCTGTGTGGCGTGGCCAAGAAAAACAAAAAAAGAAAGGAGAGGAGTAGAAATTGACAAACTGGAAGATGAAGACTTTAAAAGTGAAGGCATCTTCATGGAGGGTCTGGGCTCTGTGCATCTCTGGGAAAAAGGCAGAGCTGGTCAGAGTTTTATTGAGTGTAAGGGGGCAGGCCCAGCCCATTGGGTCAGCTCATATGCTTCTGTCCCCAATCCACCTTCCCCTAAGGCCAACCATGCCCCCCTGGCCACCTTCATCTGAGGTTGGCTGAGCAGGCTGGGGACACCAAGGTAGGAGCTGCAGGCTCTGAGATGCAGGGAGCCCTGCCTCAGGGCTCACAGTTCCCAAGTGATGCCAGGACACCCCTGCGATCTCCTGCCCTTACTCATCCCACCTGGTGAGTTGCTCAGCCAGTGAGGTGTAGATCTGGCCCAGGAGGAGGATCAGTACCAGGTAGAGCACAGTGCTGCCGATGTTGGCAACATTACCAGCCGAGGCAGAGTGATGGCTATCACCTTGAGCCCAACCACGTGGAGAGGCAGAAGGAACTTGAGGATGCCCCCGTTGTGCCCAGAGTCTGGAACAGTGGTCCCACCCTCCATTGCTCCAAGGGGCACTCACTTGGGTCATGAGCACAGAGTTGGCCGTGTGGAACATTGCAATGCTGACGATGCCACAGTAAATGATGACAGACACCAGGAAAATCATCACCACACAGAGCTGGGGGCCAGCAGGGAGAGCTGTCAGAGCTGGAAGGCAGGTCCACCAGGGCACCAGCGCATCCTGGAGGGCACAGTCCTTCCAGAGCAAGGGCCCAATGCCCCCTCACCATGATGAGGATGGCTGCAGAGCTGGTAAGTAGGCGGGGAAGATGGGTGTGGGGTGGGAAGTAGGGCTCCTTCAGGCCTGTCACTGGGTTCTGGGCCATCTGTGGGGCCAGGGCAGCAAACTCTGGATGTGGGCACTCCTATCAGAGGGGGCAACAGAAATGTACATCCCAGGGCCCAAGGGTCTGGGTGTCATGACCCTGGGGTGGGGGAAGCCTCCTGCCTTTTCCTGTTTGCACAGGGAGCTCTGGAAATGCAGGAATGAGGTCTGATTCATTTTTGTTTCTGCAGGGCCTTTTTTCCCTAAGGCCTGGCTAAGAGCCTGTGGATGGATGGATGGATGGACGGATGGGTGGATGGGTGGGTGAGTAGACAGAGAAGTAAACAACAAATGGATGCACATGTAGGAGAGGGCTGGATAGTCTGAAGGACGGGTGGCAGTAGGTGGACAGGTGGGTGGGCAAACTAGACAGGCAAATCTCTATAAGTGAATGCACAAATGTGTGGGTAGATGGGCAGATGGATGTATGTCTGGATGGATGTCTAGGTGGAGGAGGACATGAGGGTGTGTTTGGATGGATGATGGACATGAGGATGGATGGGTAGATGGATGGATGTGTGGATGAATAGATAATGTATTAGTTATTCAATAACTGTTAACCGACCACATACACTCTGCAGTAGATACTGGATATGACATGATGAACAAACTGGACAAAATCTAAGTCCTAACAGAGTTTACAGTCTAGTTGGGGAGACGGACATTAGATAAATGAACACAAATATGTACTTGTGAATAACTCATATGAAGGAAAACTGGTCTTCAGGGATGGTCACTCAGAGGAAATGACATTTTAGCTAGGACCTAAAAGACAAACAGGTGCTAAGTAATGGGAAAATGAAGGGGAAGCACGGCAGGGGTTGGGGAGGAGACTGTGTGCAGAGGCAGGGCCACTCTTTGAGTCACATGAGTTGTATAATTCACTGCTCTAAGAGGTGCCGGGTGGTGCAGTGGTTGAGAATCTGCCTGCTAATGCAGGGGACACGGGTTCGAGCCCTGGTCTGGGAGGATCCCACATGTTGCGGAGCAACTAGGCCCGTGAGCCACAACTACTGAGCCTGCGCGTCTGGAGTCTGTGCTCTGCAACAAGAGAGGCCACGATAGTGAGAGGCCCGCGCACCGTGATGAAGAGTGGCCCCCGCTTGCTGCAACTAGAGAAAGCCCTCACACAGAAACGAAGACCCAACACAGCCAAAAATAAATAAATTAATAAACTCCTACCCCCAACATCTTCTTAAAAAAAAAAAAAAAAAGAGGTGCCATTCACAATGACTTTGTTACTTCAGTTTTTCCTTCCTGCTTTTTCAGTCCTCCAGAACTGTTTAACCAATCAATACCTTATATTAAATCCTCTCTGT